GGGTGCGTGGTGGGCTACGTGGTGGTACGTGGCGGCACGTGGTGGTCATACGTGGTGGTCATGCGTGGTGTTGGTGCGTTGTGGTACGTGGTGGTGGTACGTGGTGGTGCGTGGTGGTGCGTGGTGGTCATGCGTGGTTGTGCCTGGTGGTACGCGGTGGTCATGCGTGGTGGTACGTGGTGGTGGTGCGTGGTGGTGGTGCGTGGTGGTGGTGCGTGGTGGCACGTGGTGGTCATACGTGGTGGTGCGTGGTGGTACGTGGTGGTAGTGCGTAGTGGTACGTGGTGGCCATGCGTGGTGGTACGTGGTTGTCATGCGTGGTGGTACGTGGTGGTGGTACGTGGTGGTCATGCGTGGTGGTCAAGCGTGGTGGTACGTGGCGGTGCGTGGTGGTACGTGGTGGTGGTGCGTGGTGGTGGTCATGCGTGGTGGTACGTGGTGGCACGTGGAGGTGGTACGTGGTGGTGCGTGGTGGTCATACGTGGTGGTGCGTGGTGGTGCGTGGTGGTACATGGTGGTGGTGCATGGTGGTGCGTGGTGGTGCGTGGTGGTGGTACGTGGTGGTGCGTGGTGGTCACGCGTGGTGGTACGTGGTGGTCATGCGTGGTGGTGCGTGGTGGTGCGTGGTGGTGGTGCGTGGTGGTGCGTGGTCGTCATATGTGGTGATACGTGGTGGTGCGTGGCGGTGCGTGGTGGTGGTGCGTGGTGGTGCGTGGTGGTCATGCGTGGTGGCACGTGATGGTCATGCGTGGTGGTGCGTGGTGGTCATGCGTGGTGGTCATGCGTGGTGGTGCGTGGTGGTGCGTGGTGGGGTGCGTGGTGGCACGTGGGGGCACGTGGTGGTTGTACGTGGTGGCGGTGCGTGGTGGTACGTGGTGGTGCGTGGTGGTGGTGCGTGGTGGTGCGTGGTGGCGCGCGGTTGCCATGCGTGGTGGTACGTGGTGGTACGTGGTGGTCATGCGTGGTGGTGCGTAGTGGTCATGCGCGGTGGTCATGCGTGGTGGTACGTGGTGGCACGTGGTGGTGGTACGTGGTGGTCATACGTGGTGGTCATACGTGGTGGTCATACGTGGTGGTGCGTGGTGGTGGTGCGTGGTGGTGCGTGGTGGTCATGCGTGGTGATACGTGGTGGTACGTGGTGGTCATGCGTGATGGTACGTGGTGGTCATACGTGGTGGTGCGTGGTGCTCAGTGGTGGTACGTGGTTGTCATGCGTGGTGGTGCGTGGTGGTGCGTGGTTGTCATGCGTGGTGGTGCGTGGTGGTGCGTGGTGGCAGTGCGTGGTGGTGCGTGGTGTTCATAAGTGGTGGTGCGTGGTGGTCATGCGTGGTGGTCATGCGTGGTGGTGCGTGGTCGTCATACGTGGTGGTGCGTGATGGTGCGTGGTGGCACGTGGTGGCGGCGCGTGGTGGTACGTAGTGGTCATGCGTGGTGGTCAAGCGTGGTGGTACGTGGCGGTGCGTGGTGGTACGTGGTGGTGGTGCGTGGTGGTGCGTGGTGGTCATGCGTGGTGATGCGTGGTGGTGCGTGGTGGCCATGCGTGGTGGTACGTGGTGGTGCGTGGTGGTCATGCGTGGTGGTGCGTGGTGGTGCGTGGTGGTGGTGCGCGGTGGTGCGTGGTGGCACGTGGTGGTGGTACGTGGTGGTGCGTGGTGGTCATCTCGCCGTTGTCGATCTCGCCCCCGCAGCCACCGTCGCTTCGCCGTCCCCCCAACCGCCGTCGTCCCACCGTGGTCTGACCCCCCATCCACCGCTGTCTCGCCCCCCAGCCGCCGTCTTCTCACCGTCTTCTCACCCCCCAGCCATTGTCGTCTCACCCCCCCGCCGCCGTCGTCTCGCCGTCGTCTCACCCATCAGCCGCCCTCGTCTCATCGTCGTCTCAACCGCCAGCCACCGTCCGTCTCACCTGCGTGTCACCCCCCAGCCGCCGTCGTCTCACCCCCCAGCCACCGTCGTCTCGCCGTCGTCTCACCCCCCCGGTCACCCGCCCTCCCCCCCCAGCCGCCGTCGTCTTACCGTCGTCTCACCCTCCGAATGCGCACAGGAAAGCATACGGTTTCCCCAGATCTTTCGGGATTGATTTTCAGGCCCAATGGGTTTTCTCTGCAGCCAACTCTCCGAAAGCGAATTCCGACAACAAAAAAACAGGAGATTCCCCCAGATCATCCGGGCTCGTTTTTCCAGGCCCGATGAGATTTCGTTGCCGCCGATTCTCCAAAAGCGAATTTCGAGCATATGAACGCGTGAAATTCCCCCAAATCCGTCGGGCTTAATTTTCAGGCCCGATGGATTTTCGCTGCCGCCGATTCCCCGAAAGTGAAATCCGAACACAGGAATGCATGAGAACCCAAAGATCCTTCGGGCTTGATTTCCAGGCCCGATGGGTTTTCGCTGCTTCCCACCCTCCGAGAGCGAATTCTGAGTACAGGAAAGCATGAGATTCCCCCAAATCCGTCGGGCTTAATTTTCAGGCCCGATGGATTTTCGCTGCCGCCGATTCCCCGAAAGTGAAATCCGAAGCACAGGAATGCATGAGAACCCAAAGATCCTTCGGGCTTGATTTCCAGGCCCGATGGGTTTTCGCTGCTTCCCACCCTCCGAGAGCGAATTCTGAGTACAGGAAAGCATGAGATTCCCCCAAATCCGTCGGGCTTAATTTTCAGGCCCGATGGATTTTCGCTGCCGCCGATTCCCCGAAAGTGAAATCCGAGCACAGGAATGCATGAGAACCCAAAGATCCTTCGGGCTTGATTTCCAGGCCCGATGGGTTATCGCTGCTGCCGACCCTCCGAGAGCGAATTCTTAGTACAGGAAAGCATGAGATTCCCCCAAATCCTTCGTCGCCCCACGCAGCCACCGTCGTCTCACCGTCGTCTCACCCCCAGCCAAGGTCGTCCCCCCCCCCAGCCACCGTCGCGTCACCGTCGTCTCACCCCGCCACTGTGACGTCACGAAGCGTGTTACCCACCAAAAGACCCGGCCAAAAAAACTCGCAGGCAGAAAAAACACAACCCCCCAGAGACATCCGACCCCGTGGCCTATGGTCAAGGCCCTTAAGGCCTAAGGTCAGTCATCGCGGGGCGCGCAGGGAAACGGGGGGTCTCTCTGTCTCTCTCTGTCTCTCTCTTGTTCTTCTCTTGAAGGAAGCCGCAAAAAGTGTAGGTCATCCCGGCCTTGTAAGACCGCGCCCGCCAAACGTTTGAATGCCCTGTGGTCATCCTTGGGAGGCTCCGTTGCCAACTTGAGCAATATTGGGGCTGTTTCGGGGCTTTCTGGAGGCACGGTCGGCCATCTTGAAGCCATATTGCGCCATCCTGGAGGCACTCCTGGGCCATGTCGCGCTATCTTGGAGGACATCCCGTGTTATCTGAGGATATAGTGGAGCCATCTTTGGACCAAACGGGCCCTCTGACACCTCGCGCCCCACTCCCCGTCCAGACCTTGGGAGGAGGTAGTGGGAGCGGCAAAACCTTCCCAGAAATGATCAGAAATGGAAGGAGGGACTGTTTTGGAAGAGCTTGCATTCTAAACTGCTAGCGCCGAGGGGGCTGGTGGAATAAGTCGTCTGCACACAGCTGTATACATTGCGACGGGGCATTTGTCTTGAACTGCCGCTGTATATCGCGAATGTACAGTGTATAAGCAGCGAACGCAATACGAAACAGCTCGTTCGTGCCCTCGCACCCGCCTGCGTTGGGGTCTCGCTGGGGAAGCAAGAGTCTGATCTGCTCTTGATGGCCCTCCGAACGGCAGCAGCTGTCCGGACTTTAGTGGACCCTGGGCACGATAGGGCCGTTCTTTGTTACCGGATCCGCCTTGCCGTTTTCGTGGCCGGTTTGGGCGCCGTTTGTTTCCCGGTTCCGTCGCCGTTGTTGTTTCTGGTTCCCGATTATGGTTCCAATCCCGATGCAGTTTTTCCCGTTTTTCGGGAGCAGTTTTGTTTGTTTACCGTCTCGTCGTTGTGCAGACAGTGTGCTGAAAATGGTGAAACAAACTCACTTGCGTGGCTGCCGCCTGCATCCTCCTGCCTGGATCTGCTGCCCGAGGGCCGTGGGGGCTCCCTGACGTCCGACCTCGCGAACAAAAAATGGCAAGATCGCGACAAGTCACAACCTGGAGGAGGAGGAGGAGGAGGAGGAGGAGGAGGAGGAGGAGGAGGAGGAGGAGGAGGAGCAGGAGGAGGAGGAGGAGGAGCAGGAGCAGGAGCAGGAAGAGGAGGAGGAGGAGGAGGAGGAGCTGGAGGAGGAGCAGCAGGAGGAGGAGGAGGAGGAGCCCCAAACCCAGATTTTCTGCGGCACTTTTCGGGCGGATCGATCTGCGATGGCCCCGGGGCCCAGAGAACGCCCGGCGAAGACGCGTGGTGTGAAAACATCGCGACGCCTGGATCTCAGGGGTTGCCTCCTGGCGCCTGGCGGGACCTGCTGCCCGAGGGCCTGTGAGAGGCTCGGCTCACGGGGCCGCCCCGCCGCGCCCCGCGGGCGACGGCGCCAGAAGGACACACTGGCCCGACTGCACGGACGCTGGCGCGCAAGCTGCCCGCGCGCACATGCCGCGCGTGAGCGCACTCGTCTCCGCCGTGGCGTGCCGCGCTGGCGGCCCGCGTGAGCCATCGTTTGTGGTCGCGACAGGTGTCGGAAACAATTGAGCAACACTCATGCAGAACATATGGTTTGAAACTCCCCCCCCTCCCCCCAGATGCCATGTCGGTGTCGGACCTTCCGATTGGGGGCCTCCGAGCGGTCTTGCGAAAAGCTGCCAGCTTTGAACTGCGGGGGAGGGGGGGAGTGTTGCTTCATTGTCTCCCTCAGCCGGATGGCCATCCCGCGCAGGACCCGCCCCTGCTCGTCGCTCAAACTGCGGCGCCCGGACCTCAGGGGGACGGCGGGACGGCCCCGCTGCCGGGGACCACCTCCGCCTTCCCGCGCCCCCCCCGACTCCAATGTGCTCGCGCGGGGGGCGTCTCGCGCGATGCGAGTTGTCCTCTCGCCGCTCCCGCGCAGGACGCCCTGGAGTGGACCGGGCACTCCCTCCCGAACGCGGAGCGGATCCAGGCGGCGACCGTGAGCACGCTGGAGCAGCGACTCCGGGACGAGCGGGGCAGGCCTCGGCTCCCGCGTGCGGGGGAGGGAGGAGGAGGAGGAGGAGGAGGAGGAGGAGGAGGAGGAGGAGGAGGAGGAGCAGGAGGAGGAGGCGGAGGAGGAGGAGGAGGAGGAGGAGGAGGAGAAGGAGAGCCCAAGAGTCATCAACGATGTTCAGAAACTGGAGCGTATACATTGCCAGTGGCGGGCTGTTTTTTGAGTCCCAGGACTTTCTGAGGGTCGGGGGCGACGTCGGGGTGGATCGGGGTGGTGTGGTGCATATTTGTTTCCCCGTTTTCCCAGGGAAACAACGAAATATGTATACACCAGGATCCCGTATAAACCAGGATCCGCTTCCTTGTTTGCAGACTTCAGTGCAGGGCTGGAAAAAAGCGTCGGTGTATAGTGTTTGGTTCCGTAGATGTTTGGAAGAAACCCTCCCTGCGAGCTCCTTCGTCATAGGCCCCTACAATATGCAACGGCTCTTTTCCATTGAGGGAACTGTCCCGTTGGAAGACAAATGTTTGTGAAGACCCTGAATGAGTTTCGCAATCGTAGAGACTGGCCTTGTCGCGCTAACTTGTCTTTTTCCTTGGTTCGTGCGCGATAGCGTTGGTTAGTGCGCTGTTTGCTTTGGTCAGTGTGCGATAGCGTTGGTTTGTGTGCTGCAAATTCTACACATAACCCCGCCAGCCCCTCCAGCAACGATGCCCAGACGAATTGCTCTGATCAGGGAAACTCGGCAGCATGCAAAGAAACAAACGGCGGGGGGAGCTTTCAGACCCCAAGAGGGGAGGGTGGATGAGAAATCGGAGGAGGAGGAGGAGGAGAAGGAGAACCCAAGAGTCATTAACGATGTTCGGAAACTGGAACGTATACATTGCCAGTGGCGGCCTGTTTTTTGAATCCCAGGACTTTCTGAGGGTCGGGGACGACGTCGGGGTGGTGTGGTGTATATCTTTCCCGTTTTCCCATGGAAACAACGAAATATGTATACACCAGGATCCCGTATATACCAGGATCCGCTTCCTTGTTTGCAGACTTCAGTGCAGGGCCGGAAAAAGCGTCGGTGTATAGTGTTTGGTTCCGTAGATGTTTGGAAGAAACCCTCCCTGCGAGCTCCTTCGTCATAGGCCCCTACAATATGCGACGGCTCTTTCCCATTGAGGGAACTGTCCCGTTGGAAGACAACCGTTTGTGAAGACCCTGAAGCGTGCCAACACATTTTTCTCGGGATTCCAACGCCACGGATCAGCCTGACTGTTGCGTCTTGACGATCTTGAATCGTGCCAGAACGCCATTCCTGGGACTTCAACACAGCGAATTAACGTAACTGCTGCACCCGCATAATCCTGAGTCCTTTCAAAACACCATTTCTGGTACGCTGATGATAGGAACCTGTGAAATTCTTGCAAATTATTAAGACGAGATGGCGCCGCTCTAAGGCTAGAGCCACATTTCGAAGACGAGTCGCCCTCAATCCGTGAAGATCTTACAAATTCTTATAACGAATGTGCGCCGCGCTAAGGCGAGAGCCACATTTTGAAAGCAACCCGTCCTCAATCCGTGAAGCTCTTGCAATTTGTTCACACGAACGTGCGCCGCGCTGAGGCGAGAGCCGTATTCTGAAAACGATTCGCCCTCCATCTGCGAAATTGTTGCCAACTTTCAAGCTTCAGAGTCATAAGCAGCGAGGAAGTCTCAGGCGAAGCGCTCGGCCCGCCCCCAAAAATGGCCCCTGGGTGCGACAAGGGGGAAGTTATCTGCAAGGAAAAGGAGTGGAGGAGGAGGAGGAGGAGGAGGAGGAGGAGGAGGAGGAGGAGGAGGAGGAGGAGGAGGAGGAGGAGGAGGAGGAGGAGGAGGAGGAGGAGGAAGAAGAGGAGGGAACAGCCGTCCCGCCCGCTCGGGGTGGACGGCCGCGCGCTGGCCCCGCGGCGGCGGCCCCTCCTGGCGGGCCTCCTCCTCCTCCTCCTCTCCTCCCTCCTCCTCCTCCTCCTCCTCCTCCTCCTCCTCCTCCTCCTTTTCCCTCCTCCTCCCCTCCTCCCCCTCCCTCCTCCTCCTCCTCCTCCTCCTCCTCCTCCTCCTCCTCCTCCTCCTCCCCCTCCTCCCCGTCGCGGCCGTCCTAGCAGCGGCCCCTCCTCGCAGGTGCCAGCGGCCAAGCGGCCAGAGCCAGCTTGGCATCGACGTGCGCGTCGTGAGAGAGCATCAGCCCGAGATGTCCTTCCGCGTCGCCACGCCGCAGCGCTTACCGAAGGAGCACCGCAGCAGCTTCAAGCAGACCCCCGATGGCGGGCAGGCAGCAACAGCATCAGAGGCACCAGCAGCCACAGCAGCAGAACATCCCTGGGAGATGGCTATGTGGTAGTGGTCGGGCGGGGAATCGTGGCGGCGATTGGTCTTGCAGGGGCTCGGGGTGCAAGCAGTCCTACCGCCGGCACCGATTATCCCACCACCAGTCCAGGTGGAGGTCATTCCCAGGTCGATGCCGTGGCTGAGGAGATCCAAAGAGGGCGCGACACGACCCATTTCCATGCTGGACCTGTCTCTGACACAGACCTAGCATCATGGATGAGATCTTCCTTGCCAGGGAAAGTTTCGGTGGAACGACATTTGGCTGATGAAGGGGAAACCGATGGAGATCGAGCTGGAGTAAGTGATAAGTTCGTCCCGAGTTACTCTGTCGTGGGCTCGGTCGTCGCAAAGATGTTCGACGGGGAGCTGCTGGCGATCATGATGGAGCCGAATCTCCCCCGCTGGGATCATGCCGAGCCGGCGAGCCGCCCTCCGTTGTCTGCGGCGGCGGCGGCATCGGCCAGGTCCCCTTCGGGACGGACGTTAATAGCTTAAACAAGAACCAGACGGCACCACCCCACCTTATGACCCGCTGGGTCGTAGGGGTCGGGGGTGGGGAGGTGTCGTAGGTGGTCGTAGGTGGGCTAGTGCCTAAACTCTCAACATCGCTGGGTCGCAGGTGGGGTGGCGTCGTCTGGTGTCTGGTCCAGTAGTGGCGCTTCCAGGTTTGTCATGGAACAAGACATGCGCCTTGCTGAGGCCAAGAAAGCTCCGCAGCGCGCCACGCCATGGCGCGGAGCGGGAGCCAGCGTCAGCATCACAATGAGGGGGTCTCCCACGGCGACGGCGGTTTGGGGCTCGGCTGTCACTGGCATCTCGGACAGTAGATGGACAATTTACTCGAACCCTTACACATTCGAGGGCGTTTCTAAATCACCCCCGCGCCCCCGACATCAACGTTGATCCCAGTAAAGGCGGTGCTTTGGGGTTCGAATACTTCTGTCCACTCACGCCCCCCCCCTCGTCGCCACGCCATCAATATTAATTTCGGGGGGTCTGGGGGGCATCTCGGGCCACAGGGTTCGCATGTAATGTCCACGTGCGGGGGCACATGCTCCGCTCGCTCGGAGTTGTCTCCCTCCGTGCGGAGGGCAGGGTGCCGTCGGGGACTCCGGTGCCCCCGCGACTCGGGACCACGGCCAGGGGGGAGCCCACAGCGATGTTCTTGTGGCTCACTCGGCAGAGGTGGCCAAGCATTGGGCTCTCTCGGTGGTGTCCTCGCTGCCTGGGCTCGGGCCTCTGGAAGCCTGCCTGGAAGTGGCCCAGGGGATCCTCCTTCGTCCCGTGGCGTGGTCCCAGGTGGTCGACCTTGCTCAGGCGGCGCTGCTCTCCCTGGCCCGCGTGGGAGCCACGTGGCCCAGAGCGTCTGTCTATCGAGGCCCTTCCCATGGCGACTTTTGCTTCGGGCAGTTCTCACCAGGCTTCGTGGTTTCGTGATGGAGGTTGCCAGAGACTCTACACCGGCTGCGTCGGAGGTGGCGGCCTTTCGTCGGATGGAGTGGGCGTGGATGTCGCCCCTTGCCTGTTGCAGCTGTTCTAGGTAGGAAGCGCTCCGAAGGATGGACGACACACATGTGTGCCGCAGGCAGTTCGCTTGTTGGAGGTAGTCACTGGCCCCTGGCCAGATTGCATTTCCACGGGGAGGCTGTGCATGATCGTTGTGCCCACTGCGGTGAGAGGGGCGCTCTGTTCCATCGGATGTGTGCTCGCCCGCGAATGTTCGAGACACGTCGTGGCTCCGCCCGCCCCATGTTAAGCAAGCTGCTAGGTTTGCCAAGGGCATCAGTGAGTGTTTGGCTGAAATGTTTGCGCGCTGTCTGCGGCCGTCGCCTGGCAATGTTTGTCCCCGTCGTGGAGCCCCTGAGGAAAAGTGGTTGGGGAGTGCGAGGGTTGTTCTTGGGTGGAACTTATCTGGCAAAGTCTTCGTCGACGGGAGCGCCTTCGATGGCAGTGGTGGCCATCGGCCCAGCACGCCAACTCGAGACAGCAATGCACGGGATTGCCCCCCTTCAGTAAGCCCGTCCCAAGAAGCGCGGAGCGGGGAGGACTATGCACCCCATAGGTTCAGCAAGTTCTCGGGATCTGGGGACCCACCTGGAGCTGGTTCGGACTGTGCAGGCTCGGTGGAGTGTGCCCAAAATGCTTGGGCGGCCCTGGACGCCGGCAGCCCCCGCAGACACCACTGGACTGACTGGCGGGGAGAGATGTTCGGAGTGATCGCGATGTGTGGCTACCTCGTGGCAACAGGATGGCCGATGCGTGTGCTGATAAAGGGGCCAGGCGTTGGGCCATTCCAGAGTATGGGGCAGCTCGAAACTGTGTGCTCCGGCATGGCCGCGCTGCGCTTCGGCCGCCTTCGGGTTGTGGGCGCAGCCAGGCTCAGACGGCTTGGCAGGCACGGCTGACACTGAGTTCGAGGACGAGTGTTCGCGGGCCTTCCTGGAGGCTTGTCTTGAGGCGGGGCTGCGTCCTTTCGACGGGGAGGTCCAGGGCCGTGGGGGCCATTGGGCTCTCCTCCTCTCCCTCCGCCTGGTCATCCTGCTCCCCGTGGCTTCCTCCAGGTTTCTGGAGTTCCGTGGGGACACCGAGGCCATTCCACTGTCCAGGCCGAAGTGCAGGCGGAGGTCTGGGACAAGGCCAGATGATTTGATGTTGTGCAAGCGCTGTGCAG